TGACTCTAAGTACCGGCAACATGTCAGAAGTGAAAAAGTGCCGCTACGATAAAGACTAAAATATTGAAGTGAGTACCGGCCCACTTCAAACACTGTCATTCCCTCAACATAAGTCGAGGCCACGAGAAATGGATGTTGTTCCCTCAACATAGCATCTCGAGGCCACAACTTCACATTGCGTGGCCACGACATAAGGATATCGTTACCTCTACAAAATGATCTCGTGGCCACGACATATTACCATGTTTCCACGAGTTAATATGTAGTGGCCTTGACAAAACTAAGTGAACCAAACATGCCCCCTCCCGGTCACCGTAGTAATTGCCCAAAATGCTTTGTTCGACTTTTCAGAGAGCATCTACTCTTCCCTGTGGATGACCTCTGATCTACTTTCTGTGCAATCTGAATTTCTGCGTTTTGAATTTTAGAATATTGAATTTGATGTTCTGAATTTCTTCTTCATCTTGAAAACTGTATGAAGCTGTATTTTTAAAAACTGGATATTTGCATTCTAAGAATTCAGAACAAAAAATCCACTGTTTGAAAATACATGTCTATAAAACTCTGCCATTAAAATTTTTTAATTGTGTTAAATTTCAAATGTTTAATATACAAGTAAAAAAAATAATCTAATTCAAAACTATGTTAAATGCCACATAATATTCAGTTTTGTTAAATGACACTTGTCAATAATTCAAATTTACACAATTCAAATTCAAATAGTTTTGTCATATTTTAAGCTCCATATTTTTTGAGCCTGGTTTGGTTTTATGAAGATTTAAAAAAAAGACTGGATTAATTTTTATCATTCTAAGATGGCTGTGTACACACAATTTCAACACACATTTCTGTCCAAACACCTTGTAAAAGTGGATCTTGCATAATAGGTGCCCTTTAATTTAACTTAATGTACTAACAAAACTGATATAAAATAAATAAAAACTATATAGACAAAAAAAAATAAAAAACAGACATTTTTTTATTACTAAAACTAAGGCAACACTGGTTCAGCAGGTTCAGCAAGTCATACAGGTTATGAATGAGTAAATTATGACATATACTTCATATTTGGGTGAACTATCCCTTTAAAATCACTTAATATGTCTTAAACTGATTGACTCTCTCAAAAAAAAAAAAAAAGGAAAAGGGAAGTCGAGTCAATTCACTCATATTGACAAGTTATTTGGGGTTTATTGCCAGAACTGATGTGTTTTTATGTTTAGAAGTGACAAGGCTCATGAGAAGATTTCCAAAACAAAAGCCTGGTGCGTAGGTATTGCGTCACTCACAGGCCGACTTTTTCAAGACAAGGTTTGTCAAGGCCAGGAAGTCTCAGTTACTGAAACAACACTGATAACGGTTTGTAAAACCCCCACCCGAGTGTGTGTGTGTGTGTGTCTCTCAATGTATGTGTATGTGTGTAAAGGTGCAATGTACATTTGTGCATTTGCAATTGGTTGCCAAGACAGAAGACACAGGTAGTGACAGCAGCAGTAAAATACTAATTTGGGAGCCCTTTTACAGGACCTTTGCCTTTCTCATGAAATCAAATCTGTTTTACAAAGGTTGTGTCATTTCAAATCCATGAGTTTTGCCTATGCAAATGTCACCAAAATTATGTTACGGTAGGACTAGGGTGGTTCCCAGGGTGTTGCTATCTGGTTGCTAGGGCATTGCTTAGTTGTTAAGATGTTCTGGTCTGATTGCTTAGGAAAGTAATAGCATACCTCTCCTTAACAACATGCATGACTTGAGGTATCATTCATGTCTGTAGAACCAAGTATGAACCAGAAGTATGAGCAATGGTAATAACGGTGCTTGCCTTAACAATCAAAACTAAATTAGGTTGCATTCATTGAACATAATTTCACTGGTCACAGCGCAAGTCAGTATCATCAAGAGCAAAACAGATGACTCACATACGAACTGGTAGCAAACTTACTAGCTGAGGACAGAATGTCTCTGTGAGCTGTATACATTACCATAATTGTGTGAGATGAGCTTATGGATTCAGTGGCTTTAACCTGCTTGTAACGTCCTCACAGAAGCAATAAGCCACAGAGGTCTTGGATAGACAAGACAAGTATATGTCTACACATTGCTAAACATAAACCTCTGTTATAAAGCCCTATGAGTGATTTGTCGGAGTGGTAAACAGCCATCATTTTTTCATGTTTGCACAGATTTGTAACTGAATTCCTAATTTACACTACTGTTCAAAAGTTTGGGGTCAGTAAGATTTTTAAGGCTGCATTTACTTAAATAAGAATACAGTAATACTGTGAAATATTATTACAATTTACAATAACTGTTCCAATAACTACAATACATTTTATGTCATTTATTCTTGTGATGGCAAAGCTGAATTTTCAGCAGTCATTACTCCAGTCTTCAGATAATCTGAATGATCCTTCAGAAATCATTCTAATGTGCTGATTTGGTGCTCAAGAAACATTTCTCAGTATTATCACTGTTGAAAAAGGTTGCATTACTTAATACTTTTCTTTACTACTGCATTAATTGCTGATTTTTTTTTAAATATTAGTTCTTTAGAAAAGAAAAATCTTACTGACTCCAAACTTTCAAATGATAATGTATGCAAAAAACTTATCTGTGACCATTGCAGTTCGACCACAATTATACTTTACAATTATAAGTTACATTTGAATATATATTATATCAGGGGTGTTTCCTTCAAGGAGGCAAGGGAGGCAGTGTCTCCTCTCCTCAAAAGTGGATGAGAAAATAATCGATATTACAAAAATAAAACAACGCAAATATGACTATGACATTAAAAGTCTAAAAGTCACTTGTTTTTATAAAGTAACACTGTCCAACAGCGACACCCACAGGTAAAGTTACAGCCGGAGGCTTGCCTCCCTTTGGTCCATAGACTTTCTACAGAGACCCTAAAGCGTGCCGTGCCGGGAAAGTCACGTGAGAGGAGGCGATGCCTCCGTCACGCTATAATTGGATATGATCGGTTATGATTGGATGTGATTGGTTCGTGTGATAAATTCCGCCTCCTGTTTTTGTGCGAGCTCTCAGCCTGAATGAAGACAATGATGGCATTATTGACTAATTATAAAGTAAATAAACAGCTCTCCTGCTTAGATATCACTGCTTTGTGTCACATCAAAATGAAACATGAAATTACTTGAAAACGTGATGACTGTGTCAGTTTTTAGTGAGCATTCAGCTTGATGAAATGAAAGATGTATCTTCGTGCCTGTGACAAAGTTTACAGGGCTTTTATGACGATGACCCGAAAATAAGTTGACTATTAAAAAGAACAGCTGAACATCAGTTCTCAAATAAAAAACCGAGTGTCTATTTACAAGTGCAAATAGCCCACCTTGTTGGCAGAGGCTATTTACACTAACTCCGCCCATC